CTTGTTGGGCGTTCCCGACATATTGTCCGTTCTCTCCCTGTGGAGAGTGAGAGTAACGGCCGTTGGCTAACTATTGCCGCCAACTGCCGCCCAAACCCCGTAGTCAGCACTAGGACTACATTACATACTTTATAAAAAAATAAATACAAAATTAATACGGTAAATCATGTTGCAATACAATGGTATTGTATTTTATGTTTTATTTTAAAAAGTATTTGTATTACAAAGATATAAAATCTTTGAGTAAATTGATCATTTAATATCGAGTAAACTGAACTGTACCATTCAATGCCTACTCAATACAGATAGTTAAAATTAATTATTATATTATTAATTAAATATACATTAATTATAATGCCATTTAAATACAAGACAACCCTTAAATTACTGAAGAGCCTAATGATAGCCCTGTATGTGGTGGCCATCATTGGTAGCGTTGCCACTGTAATCAACTGTTTCCGTATAGCGCTGACAACCAGTGACGATCACTATAAAAGAGAAAGTAAATAAGTTTATTATAGCGAAATGTATATAACTTATCATTAAAGCCTTTCATATCATGCAAATGCATGTTTTTACCGTTAAGTTATATATGTTTGGGACTTTGGGGGCAGACGAATGACATAATAAGGGGTGTTTTGAAGAACTTTTATTTTGCATATAAATGTATATTTGGCTCATAAATGCATATAACTGCATATTTAGTCTAAAAGCATAAAAAGCATGGATTTTCTCGAAAATCATAACTAAAATGTCTAATCTATTAGAAGATTTACGATTATTTAAAATTAATTGTATTTTATTACCAAATATTAAGTCATAAAACAAATATAAATTTAATTAACATTGTGTATTAGTGTTAAAGTATTACCTATTGTAGTTCTAACAATTATTACAGCATTTAAAAATAGGACAAATATTTTTAATTTATATTTTATTTGAAATTTAGAATATTTAAATGGGGTTTTTAAGGCCTAATGACTATTTTCATCATAACATTTCGTCATTTTGCTTATAAATTATATTAAATAATATTTATATCGCATATTAACAGAATTATAAGTGCATATTTGAGTGCATATTTAGCCAATTTTTAGTGCATATTATATGACATATTTGGCTGCTAATAAATGCATATTTTGAAAGGCTTTACTTATCATGTTGAATTTGTTTCACAAAAACATCATCATATTAGTGACAGTAATCATGGTTATCTACATGATTTGCGGTCAGATTTGCGTTATGGCAGTGGTAGGCGTGCCCAGATAATCAAGTTTAATCATGATCGTGATGGTTGCGTTGACCAGCATCGAGACGATGACCAAATTTTTTACCGGTCAGAGCCGGACCCGAATGGTCGGTGCAGTGTTGCTCTCACTTAACATGATGTACCTCTGGGTTATCATTAAGAAAAAAAAGTCTGGGGGACAGATGGTTGTTCCCGATGCTTAGTTATGTTTACCAACTGTAATGATATATTTATGGTGTCGGTCACTTTATGATTAACAAAATTATTTATTTTTTATTTTATTGATATTAAGGCTCTTTATTAATATTATATTGATACATAGTATATCAATATATTGAACATTAGCAATTTGTTTGTTACATTGTATTTTATATTATTTAAAATAATAGAAGGCAAACAGCAATAGTAAGTTTATTTTTAGGGAAGTATAAACAATGGACAATTTGTTTGCAATAAGTTTTATATTTATTGTATTACTATTTTGTGAAGACTTTTACCATCGATGACAAACATTATCTCATGTTTTACCATTATTTTACATTTATAACTATCATAACATTTTATAACGTATTTTATTGTAATAACCATACTTACCATTATGTACAGCGCAAGCGCGCACTCATTCATACCATGCATTCACTCAATAAACATTCACTTTAGTTCTGGCACTCGTTGTGATCACTTGACTCTCTCTTCACTCACTCTTCTCATCGCTCGAGTGGATACCCAAAGGGAATGCTTTTTACGAAGCACTACCGGCGGGTCTCGCTCTAGAGCTCTCTGACCACTTCCCGATCACCACCAGTTGTCCACACATTGTTGTCCATTGAGTCCATTGTCTTCTTCGTCCATATTGTTGCCATCATTTGATCCATTTGTCTTCATTGTCGCCCATAGAGTCCAAACACATGGCTTTTGAGCCATAAGGCGGCCATTTTGTCCCTTTGTTTCACTCATTGTCTCCATTCATACCATACATACCACTCATTCATATACTCTTTCAGTGGAAGTGATTGTCTTCACAGGTCTCCCATCGACGGTAAACCCTGACCTCACGGGTCGGGAACCGTCAGTACGGATCGCCAAACCCAAGATCCGTCACAATTTAATTCCAAATATTTTTAATAAACATTATATTTAAGTAAAATATATTTTTAATAATTTATTATTAATTACAATAATGTAATACAGTAGTAACTTATTGCAATGTACTAGTGATGTTTAAGTTAAAATTGTTGTTTATGCACAATTTTAATGTTCAATACTAATTTCAGTTTAAATGAAAAACATTTATATTAATTATAAATATTTAATCAGTGATAAATTGGCCATGCTCATTTTGGTAGTAATCTAACCAATTAACATATGTATTGTTATAGAGCTTGGGATTGGATTTCGGGTCGTTTGGGACCAGACTTAGCGGCGGAACAGAACTCGTGTCAAACGTAACCATTTTCTGGCGCAGGAATCGCACGAATCGACGGTCCGTTTGGCCGATGAGGTTGTGCTGTTCGCACGGGTCGTGCCGTACGTTAAACAGACAGTAATCGGACATACAGTCTGGCGGGTGGTGTGAGTCGGTCGGCACCGGTCGGCACTCGACCACCTCTGAGCTCAACACTGTATAGTCCGGTCGGCGATTCATTTGCCGCAAAATGCGATACGTTTTGCTATTTAAGCGGTCGTTGTGTTGAAGCGTTTGCCGCGAATGGGGGCCAATATCTATGGGAAAGTGGTTGTAATCCGCCGGCGACTGTCCGAAGGGTTTTCTCGTTTGGATTAGTTTCCAGTCATGCCATCGAATGGCCGATGAATTCTCAATGGTGTCCACATTGTGTTGTATTTCCCACCGAACGGGCCGTTCATTATTTGATAGCACTTTCCATTGGGAAACACCTAATTATATGATGTAATTCAGCATAAGTTTTAATTTTAGGGGCAAATAAATTGTATTGATTTAATGTGTAGTTTTAATTATAAATTAAACATTTAACACCATACCAAAAACTTTCCTTGGTATAAAGATAGTGATATAACATGTTCTCATAGGGCTAACTTGCTTTTAATAATAATAATTATTGTTTTTTTCAATGTATGTGTTTGATTATAAAATATTGAATATTAATTTTAATCGCAACAAAGTTAGTTAAACAAGGTGTTGCTTATAAGTAGTTTAATATAGAATAATAAAATGTACCATAAATATGACTTTGATGATCATCATCATTAAGTCTCGTGCCATCGATAGCTTCCAAAACAGTTGGCAAGAGATCTGTGATGTGAACTAAAGCTTGCGATACGTAACCACTTTTGTTAAGCAATGGACTCCACACCAGTGCCGGCACTCGTATGCCTTACATATAATATATAAACACAAAAATACTTGTTGTTAAACTGCGAGTGTAAACATAAAGTGTAATTTGCATTATAATTTTATGTAATATTAATTTTTATAACCATGTGTAACAATGTAGTCTCACACAATTACTCGTCGATTAAATCTATATTGTACAAAATATCAATATTAGGGCACATTTACAAACCTCCTTCGTAAAGCAAAAACTTTCCACCCCTTAGCGGTCGATTCTGACCATCATTTGCTCTAGGACCACTTGTCGCGCTTCGTGTCCACTTGTCTAATAATAATTCAATAATAAACAATTATTATAATAATCTAACATGAGTGTATTTTAACAATATTAATATATACTATGCTCGAAAGGGTGGCCCCCGTTATCGCTAATAAATATAACAATACTGTTGTCGAGCATATGTTTGCTATGGAGAGCCTCCATAATAGTGCCGATAGACTCGTCCATACTATAGGCCATTGCGGCCAACACTCGGCGTTCGGGTGACCGGATGTATGGGAAGAGATCCATGCGCTCCCGTATGGGCACAAACGGCACCTGAACCGCCTGATAGGGCACGTATAGGAATAGGGGTTGCGATGTGTTGTGTTGGTCTGTATAGTAATTAGTGATAAATCATATGTTAATAATTTTTATCAACAAAAACAGACCGATTATATGAACGCATCGATCGGTGAAATAACGCGTTGAATAGATGTCCGACGCGTTTGTTATGACATCCATATTATGGCGAAAATCGAGGCCACAGGTGCCCCACGACTGACAGTTTTGGTGATCGTAATACCCGATGGCCATCGACCAGAAGCCCACGTGCGAGTCAAAGCCCCTGTAGGTGGGGGTATACTCGCGGCGGGCAAAGCCCTGATGCCATTTGCCTGGTTTTGGAAACAGCGTTGTATTAAACAAACAGATTTATACACCTTGTTAACTAGATTTATGTTGATATACTGTATTTATTATTTATACTATAAATAATCTACTGTATATTTATTTTATAGTATTGATATAACTAATTTTTGATTTATTTTATGATTGTATTAGGTCATTTGACAATCATCAGGCCTAACTGCCTTCTAGTGTAGATAGAATTATGAAAATGGTATCATAATTTAAGTTAACATTTATAACCTCTAGAAACCAAGTTTCATAAAATTCGCACTAATAGTTATGGCACGGGAATACTTTATATGACACCTGCCAAAATAATGTATTCCTATGGGAGAGTAGCTATTTCGGCATTTATTGACG